CGTCACCCTTTGAATAAGAGGTCACCCGTCCGTGTTCACCATGTGGTTCTGAGCTAACCATCACCTCATCACCTAGCTCATTTGATCCAGAAGACCTTCTGAGACCGACCACTATGGGATATTGAAGCCAGCTCACCGTCCGCCGTCCGCCGTCTCCATAAGCAGTCAAAAGTCAGCAACCATCTGAGTCACCGACCACCGAGATTCTGGAATGTCCTGATAAGTACCCATTTCATTTCATTTTACTGTTTATTGAGTTTAACTATTTAATTTGCGTATTTGAGATAGTTATAGTTAACTTCTTTAGACTTTTTACTTGCGGCTCGATCTGTGAACTTACTAGTAAGTATCGCGAGTACGTATTTCCGTTTTAGTAATTTATAGCGTTTGTTATATATCCATTTTGAGATTTATGATATCGATTTAACCGTTTTAAGTTTAGACACTATCGTTCAAGTTACCACTTGTGTACTGCCGATACTTTTTGAGCTGTACTGTTTTGTAGTTAATTACTTTTCATTATTTGCCTTAGTATATAAATGTACTGAGTTATTAAGTTTATTTCAGTATAAGATTTAAATAGTTTTATCTGATATATTGGTATATTTCTATAATTTAGTTTGATATATTGACAACTGATTTTCTCGTCTTAAGCCATACATACAATATTTAAAGTTTTACCTTTTTATCGTGATTGCTGCTGAACCTTCTTTATTAAATGAGTTAAGTGATTCCTATTGTTTTATTTAGTATTTTGTTTCCCACTTTCTTTCAGAAACATCACTTTTACTCTTAGGGTCCAGAAAGTGGGTGGCGCTTATTTATATTTAATTTAGACACATTTAGTTATAACCCCCCCTACTCTCCGTAGAAGCTACCGATTTGGGCATTGACCTGTTTGAGGAGTAAGAGTTAAATAATTAAATAATAACTATTAGTTTGTTGCTGTCTCTTTTCTTTATCTTTTAATTTATCTCACCGTAACATAGTTTTATTTAATTTAACACAGCTATAATATAAATTATAGTTTTTCTGTTGTCATAAGAGAAAAAAGGTTTTGATATTTTGACACCCTTTTATAGAGCTTTTTGTATCAGTAAACATAATTTTATAATATTTTAAGTTACCTTTCTCTTCTTTCTCTTTCTATTTTATTCTTATTATCTTATTTTCTTTTATTTTTTTTTTATATATTTTTTTTTCTTATGACAAATTGGCGCCCAACGTGGGGCCAATTTGTCATAAGAAAAAAAAATATATAAAAAAAATAATTTGTGTAAAATATGATAATATAAACCAAATTTAGCTTGTTGAATAGAAGGCATCGTATTTAGCTTTGAAGAACTATAAAGCAGTATGAGACAGAAATTTACAGTGAAATTAGATCCTTTTTTTTATGTTGTTAAAAGAAAAAGTGTAATGCAACAGTAAATAAACATATTTTAGACTAGAAATTATATTATTTACCAATTTGTTTTTAGATTTTAAAGAAATGGCGAATGTTCCAGGTTTGATAAAACAATAAACTAAATTCAAGAACTGTCTCTAAAATTACAATATTAAGCCCAAAATAAATAAAATTGGAAAAGAAATCTATGAGAATATAAATCCCGTAACAACATACTCGTAGAACCACTATGTACACTAAGATGCAAAAAAACCGCAACAGAGAAGTTTTTGGTCAAATTTAAAGTGTTATATTTTTGTTATTTTTAGCCCTATTTGCATGAATTTTTTAGCAAACTGTATATAATTATATCAACTTTAATTCATAAACTCAGTTTTTTGTAAACTTTAGTAATTGACATATTATACAGGGTTAATCGAGGGGTTGTTTTTTTTATCCTAACATCAAAACACCTTGTGCAATAATTTCGTGTGTAAATTTTCTTAACATATAATTTTACGGTAAAAAACATGTCTCCTGAGCATTTTGTTTTTTGATATAATTATATACAGCTCGCTAAAAAGTCATGAAAATAGGGCTAAAAATAACAAAAATATAACAGTTTGAATTTGACCAAAATTTTCTCCGTTGCGTTTTCTTGCATCTAAATGTATTTTTTGCAATCAAAATAAAATCACTGGACAGAATTTACCCCTATACAAAAGTGCTTTGTTTGTCAGCTAGATGGCATCAAACTTTAAAAAAAGAAACACATTTTTTGAGATATTTTAAGAACCGTCATTCTCATTTGAATGAGATTTTGGGTGTCTGCTTTAACATTTGACATTCTCAAAAATCAAGAAAAAGTACGTGAAGGGTGAAAGCTACTCCCATCCCTATATAAATTTTAGTATAAATATTTTCCAACCCCACTGACCACAGATTTTCTTTTCGTATAATGGTCCCTCTAGTATTTACTACATTTTTTGGCTCTTGTAAAAAAACGCCACCTCGCATAGTTTTTGAGAAAAAAATTTTTGGAAAATTTATTTTTGCAAAGCAGACCTATGAAATATACAGGAAATTCCCATATTGCGTGGACATAGAACAACTACGTATTTTTGAATCAAAATAAGTTAATTCCACATAATTTACCTTTATACAAAAAGTGCTTCGTTTGTCCGTTAGAGAGCATCAAACAAAAATAAACCCGAACGTTAATTAATTTAAAATTTATTGAATTTTTAAGCTTTTTATGAAGCTTATTGTCAAATAATGTAATTTGTAATACTAACATAAAATTCCATGTTTTCGCCATCTAGATTATTAGGGCATAATAGATTTTATGCGTCTCCATAGCTTGATGTGACAAAAAAAATTTTTTAGAAGTCAGCTTCGGAAAAATGCGCGTAAGGTTTTTTTTACAAGAGACAAAAAATATAGTAAATACTACAAGGATCATTTTACGAGAAAAAAATCGTCCGTCGGTTGAGTTGGAAAACATTTATACCAAAATTTATGTAGGGGTGTCGGTAGTTTTTACTCTTCCCGTACTTTTTTTCTTGATTTTTATGAAAGTCAAATGTTAAAGCACATACATACATACATACATACAGCCGTTACTCGCTGACGAGTATTCGACACACATAAAGAAGATGGTCACGCAAGGCGTTTTCTTTCATGAGCTTTTCTGTGACTGAAAAGCCCGATACGTGATGTTATCTGCCCACCGCACTCCGGACATTCAAAAATCTCATTGCTTTGTTGCCTCTTTACTTTTTGGTTGCCGCTGTTAACTGAGTTTACAACCCTTCTCCATTGAGTTCTATTGTGAGCTGCTTTTTCCCACTCATTCTGCATGTTAATTCCCTTTAAATTTTCATGGAAAATGTCCTTGTATCTTTTCAGTTGTCCACCCGGCCTCCTCTTACCGACTACAAGCTCACCGTAAAGCAGAGATTTTGGTATGCGGTTTTCTGGCATTCTGCATACGTGACCAGCCCATCTTAAGCGGGATTTTGTGACCATGACTTCAATACTCTCGCAGTTAGCTTTTTCAAGGACCGATACGTTTGAGACATGATGGAACCACCGGACTCTTAAGAGTTGTCTAAGGTGTCTCTGTTGCAACTTGTTTAATGCGTTCATGTGTCAGCGGTAAGGCACCCAGGTTTCGCTCCCATATAACATGATGGGGAGTATAATTGCTCAGTATACTGCAAGTTTTGTTTTTGTACTCAAGTCATGATTGTAGAAAACCCTGTCTTTTAATTTCCAGAATGCTCTTGAGGCGCTACTAATCCTGTGCTGAATTTCAGAGTCAATATTGGCCTTTTCCGAAAACAAACTGCCAAGGTAATTGAATTCCGCCACATATTCGAATAGTTCTTCTCCGATTTTTATAGCATTGTTGTGATCTTCCGGGGGAGTGCACATAATTTTAGTTTTGTCGATGTTTAGCTTAAGGCCCAAAGCCTCGTATCCCCAGGTATATGTGTTCAGCGTTTCTTGTAATTGTTGTACCGTGTTTGCAACTAGAGTCGTCAGCGTATTGAAGTTCTGTGATAAATTTTGTACGTGTTTTTGCCCTGAGTCTTTTTATGTTGAACAGACCGCCGTTATATCTGTATCTAATGTCCAATCCTCTCCTCTCTCCTGCAGTTTGCTTTCCTATCTAGTGGAGATCTATGTGTCTAATGGAGAGCGCTGCCATGAATATGTTGAATAGGAGAGGCGCTAAGACACATCCCTGCCTAACTCCTGTATTTGTTAGGAATGGGTCGCTCAGTGATCCATGATGTAACACTCTTGACTTGTTGTTGTTATGGAGGCTTTTACACACTGCACTACAAAACTACTTTAAAGCACATAGCAAAACATAGACACCCAAAATCTCATTCAGATCGGAATAACGGTTCTTAAAATATCAGAAGAAATGTGTTTATTTTTTTGAAAGTTTGATGCCCTCTGACGGACAAACGAAGCACTTTTGTATAGAGGTAAATTGTGTCCAATGAACTTATTTTGATTCCAAAAATACGTAGTCGTTCTATGTCCACGGAACATTGGGACACCCTGTATAATGTCAGTTATATTCAAATTTACATCAACGAAATATGCTAGGAATAACCAAAAAAGAACGTAAAAATAGAATGGATACAACAAAAGATCCTGGTAATAGATGTCATCCACAGAATAAAATATCTCAAGTGGCAATGGACAGAACACCTGGCAAATAGAACGGACATAAGATAAGCCACAAAAATTACAGCAAGGTACCCATGAGAAATTAAGAGACCTAGAAAACGACCAAACCTGAGATGGGACCATATGATATTAGGAAATTTGCAGGGATATCTTACATTACAAAGATATCATTTAAATATGCGAGGGAATAACAATGGAAATGTTAGAATGAGTTGTAGAGAATAATTTCATATCTTCGTCAACAACGACGCTATTGGATTTTCGCACACTAATGGACCATACCCTGTATATGCTGTCGAACGAAAGTGTTATGTTAAACTCAATTTAGAACGTACTTTTCTCGTTCGTAATGGTTATCACAAGGCGGAAATAATAACATAGTTTCATCAACTGCCTGATTCTTTAACATGCCCGATATATATTTGGGTTGTTCATGTAATACTCTCCACCTAGATTTGGCAACGAATATTTCCTGGTTATATAAAACACAGCTAAAGTTATGAATAGGTTGTAGTATCTGATTTGATTTTGATTGAAAATGAATTGGTTCTCTTTGGTAAGACAGCATTTTAATGACTCCATTAATGAAAGTATGTTGTAATTTTTTTTTTTCAATTATTTTAGTTGTTATTTTACGTGACTTGCTTAATATCGGTAACGTTTGTTAAAGCAGGAGGTGGTGGAGGGTAAGTTAATTTTTTTTACTAATTCGACAAAAATAACTTACTTTTTTTTAACTTTAGTTTTTATTTATTTTTTTAAATTTCTTAAATTTAGTTTGTCGCTTTTAAAAAACTTTAAATAAAATAAATTTTACTATTTATTAATTTAATTGATTCTACATACATATAAAATATGTCACGCTATAACACCGAGTAAGTATATGAAGTAAAAAATGATTATTGTATTCTCTCCAGTCTTTGAATAAAAGGAATAAGGAAGGAGTATATCAAAAAACTTACGTGATGAGCACCCAAAATGGCCGACTTAAATTCTGGTTTATCCGTGCTGTTCTACTTGTATTCAAAACTTGTAAAAATATAATGTAGGGTAGACACAATAATTTTTTTTATTTACATTGTCAATAAATGTTTGTGGTTATTAAAATTGTTAAAAAATATACAGGGTGGCGCACCTCATTCGCCTCGGTTGATTATACGAAAACGGAAAGATGTAGAAACAAAATATTTTATGGGTATATGTAGGGAGGTAATGTGCACAATTTAAAATTATTTTAAAATGTACAGGGTGTTTCAGAACTAAGATCCATACCAAAGTTATATTTTTTCTTATGGAATACTCGGTATTTTATTTCATTTTAGGATTTTTGGGCTCAAAAAAAGGTATTTATTATATGGGTTTAATATGTTTAAAATCTTTGGTTTTTGAGATATTTAAAGATATTTAAATTTGCATGCTACAATAGAGTAGATTATTAACACCCTGTACATAACTTTTCAGAATTAGTTCTTGTGCTGAGTTTAAAGGTAGAGATAAAAACTAAAATTATTCCTTCCTTAAATGTATACAGGGGTATCAAAAATAGCTGGTCTATTTTAAATATTTATTTTACATAAAAAATTCATTATTTCAAATGCAACACTATGCATTTTTTTAAATAAGTCGAAGCAGATTTAAATGCTTTTTCAAACTATATTAGATTTTCCTATACCTATCTTGCTCAGATTTTGAATAACACGATAAACGATAGGTTTCTGCCTAATAGGTTTCTTATAAACCACACTACCAGCTCTGTGAAATAGGACAAGAAGTTTTTCAAAGGAACGCTTATCAGGAAGATTCCTATTTGGATATCTTTGAGCATAAGCCCTTGAGGCCAAGAAGCAATTTTCCTCACAAAATAATATCACTAGTAACATATCTATTCGTTCCGCCAGCAACTGCTTTATTTTTCTTGATAAAATAATGAATACTTACTTATTAAACTATTGTAGGTAAATTTAAGTAAACTGTTATAAATTATAAATAATAATGTCCATAAACTAATGTCGACTTTGAAAATAGTTACTAACTGTCACTAGAAAATTGCCATGGCGACACCAGCCATCTTGATTGCAATTTTATTTTAAAATCGCTTTTTATTCAAAATCTAAGCTAGATAGGTATAGGAAACCCTAATATAGTTTGAAAGAGCATTTGAATCTGCTTCGATATATTTAAAAAAATACAGGACGTTGCCTTTGAAATAACGAAGTTTTTATATAAAATATTTCCTTAAAATAGATCAGCAACTTTTGATAGCCCTGTATAAATTTAAGGAACTAATACCATTTTTCAGTAGAGTTTATTTCTCTACCATTAAACTCAGCATAAGAATTAATTCTGAAAAGTAATGTACAGGGTGTTAATAGTCTATTCTACTGTAGCATGCAAATTTAAATATCTTAAAATATTTCAAAAGAAGATTTTAAACATACTTAACTTTTATAATAAATGCCTTTTTTGGGCCCAAGAATCCAAAAATCATATAAAATACCGGGTGTTCCATAAGAAAAAATACAACTTTGGTATGGATCTTAGTTCTGAATCACCCTGTATATATCAAAATAATTTTAAATTGTGCACATTGTCTCCCCACATATACCCATAAAATCTTTTGTTTCTACATCTTTCCGTTTTCGTATAATCAACCGAGGCGAATGAGGTGCGCCACCCTGTATATTTCTAATAAAAATAGATCAAATTGATGTACCCTAATTACTTTTTTAATTAAGCAGCAAATAAAATACGAAATTTCATAAATGATCAGTTTACTACAAGTATAAATATTATGTAGTCATATACCAGTAAAATGTTATTTTATTGTTTCCCTCTATTTTTGACCGAGATCTACCGCAGCACAGTGGGCAAAAATCCAGAAGTATGTTGCAAAAATTCTTTTATTGTACGATTTCATTCAAATTTAGTAAAAACATTCTATGCCGGTAGCCCGTGAACCCAGTTAGTTTTGGCTGACTTGAGAGTGGCTGGGGGTGGTTGGGGGGATTCATAAAATGGAAAAATCATCTTTTGACTAATACAGCTACCAAAATGCGGTAAGAATATTTTACATTTCACTAAATTTTACGATTTTTGGCAGAGCCAAGATGAAACAGATAAATATTGAGCAATTATTACTCCTCCGGCATATACAGGGTTTGTTAGGTTAGGTATATATTGACATCCTCTGTATCTTTTTTATTCGACGTTTTCGAAAAAAGTGTCTTGAATAAACAACATTTTTCAAAACAGTCTTCTTTGCATATACCGGGCGCCTTAGAAATCGTATGCGTGGCCCAACTTTCTTATTTAAAATTAGTACCCAATTTTTTATTTTTTTTTTATTTTCTCCTAAAAATCCTAACTACTTTTATGTAGCATATCCTATACCTAATTTGAAATAAGATAGTTGAACCACGCCCAGATTTTTTGAAGCACTTTGGATATGCGAAATAGACTTTTTTGGCAAATTTATTCAAAACCACTTTCATTTGAGACAGTTTTCGGAAACGTCAAATAAAAAAGATAAAGGGGGTGTCAATGTATAAAAGAAAACCCTAAGTATACTAATCCAATCGAACTTTTATTCAAGATTGTTTGTCATTTGAATAAGTTGAGTCTCTAATAATACCAGACAATATGTGAACAATATTTTATTATTATATTTTAAATAAGTAACAATATTCTGAGACTTAAACAATGACGATTTCGAAAATAACAGAACTTATACCTATTAAAAATATCTAAATTTTATTTTACCACATACTATTTACTGATATTTTGTTTTATAACAACTGGAAGCAATGGTCACGAAGTGCACATTTTTAAATCTGAAAGAAAAATCCATTTCATTTAATTTAAAAAATTAGGAACTGTCAAAATAAGATAGAAAAGATAAAGGATCTTACTATACACATACGCATGGAGACATACGCTTCCAATAAGTTTAAAGTTGCGATTTTTTGCGATTTTTTTGACTTAACTTTTCTACGATAGAATATATGCCACTATCAAAAAAACCTTAAACGATTATGTTCTACTTTGACCTTTACCTAGTTTTTATCCAAAAAATCAAAATAAAAGATCCTTTTTTACTTACCTTGACATTAAATTTACCGCAACCGGGAATCTACGTAAAACACATTATGACAATTTCACAATAATTATTGACATCAAGCTAAGGTCGTCCGATTCAATTGTTATAATACTATGTCAATTGAATGCAACGCCTACTATTTAAAAAATTGTAGAGAAAAGGCAGTTATTGGACATAAATTAACTGAAAATGTAGGTTTTGCGCAAAGTTCGTTTTACAGCCCCTCGAAAGAGACTCCGAATAAGGTTTTTTGTTAGTTTTATGTGGTTTCCTCTTAACTAATATCTTTCCAATCTAATGTTATTGCCATAAATGCTAACTGTGGATGTTATTTTTTGCAACTTGGTTTGGACATATTGCCTACTGTGCGCAGGCTGCATAACCAACTAATTTCAGTGTTTTTCGATAAATCGCAATAGTCTTACTGTTAATTTAAGTTCTGACAAAATTTCCTTCTAGAATTCTAAACAAAACCAGTTAATATTGTAGAATAAATAACATTAACTAAGCTCAGTAAAGACGAACAAATCCACAAAATTTCAAATCAAATTCAAATGTTTCAATGAAAACGTCAAACAGAACTGTCAAAAATCTATGAGGTCAATTTCACCCACCATTTATAGTATGGATAGTGTTATCTCCTTCCTTAATGTTTCATTTCAGCTGGGTTGTTTCAAAGTTCCCAGTAAATTAATACAGAAAATTCGTGGGTATCACGTGGCTCAGTAAAACGATTATATTTTATGCGAAGTTTCGCAATTTTATTATCACACTCGAGAATTCGTACCACCCTGTATGTTTATTTACTACAAATAGTAGAGCTGAAGAAGATTAATTTTTTAGTCACGAGCATGTGAAGATAATTGTTCCTGAATACCATCATACCCACCACCATCACGAAACAGTGTACAAAACTATCCATCATGGAGGCGGTGGCGGTGGAGGACATAGTCATGGAGGAAAACCTTTCAATTGGCACGGAGACAATTAGTAATTTTTGATTTTATGATTCTAAAATTTCTTTAGATATATTATTTTTTTATGATATTGTTACAATAAAATCGCTACAAAAAGTATTATACATATTATACACTATTTTTTTCTAATTTAAATTTCCTAACCTCTAATAGAAGATATAAATATATAACAAGTTCAAAAGTAAAGAAAAGTGCAACTGACTTTTTTCCTATACAAAGTGTCCCAATATTCCGTGGACATAGAACTACGTATCTTTGGAATCAAAATAAGTTCGTTGGACACAATTATACAAAAGTGCTTCCTTTCTCCGTTAGAGTGCATCAAACTTAAAAAAAAAACACATGACAAGATAATATCTTTAGAACCGTTATTCCGATTTGAATGAGATTCATAGACACTCCTATGCTGCTAATATGTGACTTTCACAAAATTGAAGAAAATATACGGGGAGGGTGAAAACTACTAAATTTTAGTATAAATATTTTCCATCTCCACCGACGATCGATTTTTTTGTAAAATGGCCCTTCTAGTATTGAGTAAATTTTATGTCTTGTAAAAAAATGCATACTTTTTAAGGAAAAAATTATTTTTCCGAATCTGACTTCCAAAAAAGGTTTCTTGTGGCAGTCAATAAAGCGCTTAGCAACTTAACCCAACACAAAATCTCATTCAAATCGGAATATCGATTCTTAAAATTTCTTAAAAAATGTGTTTATTTTTTTAAAGTTTGATGCCCTCTAACGGAAGAACGAAGCACTTTTGTATAAAAGTAAATTGTGGCCAATGAACTTATTTTGAATCCAAAATACGCAGTAGTTCTATGTCCACGAAATATTGGGACATCCTGTATATTAAATTTTAAATTTCAGGCTCTATTAATTACTAATTGCCAATATTTTGAGGTAATTTCGAAGAATAAATAAATAATTAATATATTTTAACTTATTTACCTAATAGCAAGTGATAATAAAATATATTTCTGCTAATTATCTAGAAGTTTTATTTATTTCATTAATCAGCTCACTTTGTGAGTTTTATAAGGACATTGATATCAATATAAAATAAAATATTTTCCAGACATTAACTTAACAAGGGGACGTGTTCTGCCGGAAACACTGCGACCTGTAGGGCCTATTGTGTTTATCCCCTGTCTATATCTGCGCCCATTCTACTATCCCTGTGCCCTGCACTAACTTATGCAGGTCCTTGAGAGGATGGGAATATAGTTCCTCCGGTTCTAGCCTAGCTTTCCCAAATAAAAAGTGTCGCTTACGATCCAGAGCCTCGCAGTGACATATTATGTGCTCCGCTGTTTCAGGACCTTTATCGGAGTCTGCAGCAAAGACTTCCTTGATACAGGTTGAGGTGGTTCAGGTAACACTTGACAGACATGTGTCATATTATATTATATGTATATTAATATGGTATTCCCAGTACTGACTCTTGAAAAAAACCGACATTTTAAGCTCAGTATCTAGTCGACGCGAGACGTTCTGACAAATATATTGCCTTTTTTTGAAATCCCCGGATAAGAACCTCTAATCCCGAGATTCCGGGATTGACTATTAGAATGAGAAATTTAATCTAAAGAAATAGTTAATAAAAATGCAGCTATATACCTATATCAAAAAGAAAGTGAGAAAAGAGCTTTATTATTTATAGTAATTAAAAATATACAATTATTGTTGCAATATTTGTAAGAGTAAAGTGTATAAAGTCGAATCATTTTAGATTGGGCATTTATATTTTTCAACATTTTTGGGATCCTGGAATTTTTTTTTCTTACTGTGCCTTGTTAGGTCCCCCCTGATGTTGGCTATTGGTTGGCCAAACCAAATCACGATGGCGAGCTGATCCCTGTTTGTAGCCACTCTAAACAATTGTTCGACGCTATGTATGCCTGTCCATTCCCGGATGTTCCCCAACCAGGAGATCTGTTTTCTTGCTACGCCCCTGCGGCCTTCTATTTTCCGTTTATTATAAGTTGTAGAATCCGGTAAGGATATCCTCTAAGAACATGACCAAGGCATGACAGCTTTCGGCATTTAACTGTTGTCAAGAGTTCACGAACTGTATTTGCCTTGTTTAAGACTGCTTCATTTCTTTATATAGCCACCCATGTTATTCTTAGCATTTGTCTCTGTAACCACATTTCAAATGCTTCCAAACAGTTGATTGTAGCAGCTTTCAGTGTCCAGATTTCAGTTCCGTATAGTAGCAAAGACCAGATGTAACATTTATTAATTTTTTGTTTCAGTTTTAAGTTCAGACTATCGTCATTAAACAGTGATCTCACCTTCTGGAATATTGTACGAGTCGATTCAATCCTGCATCTAATTTCCCTGTCTGCTCGTTGATGTAGCATCCAAGGCATTTAAAATTGGATACTCTCTCGACGTTTTGTCCATTTATCTGTAGAAGATCATGAATTTTGTCTTAGAAACATTTATATTCAGTCTCATTACATAAACAGAATCTATGAGATTTTGGAGACCCAAAAGATCATCGCACAAAGTAGCCGTATCGCCAGCATCCTCCTGGGATTTAGTATCAGGATTTCGAAGATAAAAATACGCCGGGTTCTGGGGATTTAGAAACCCTACTCAGGACTGTGTAGTCACGTTTCTTACACATATTTCCACTTCAAAAATACATTATATTACTGTTTTTTTTTCTTTAGAAACACCAAAAATTTTTTGTAACATGTCTGCAGAATATATTGAAACACTTTTTTGAAAAATTTTGTAAAACTGTTTGATCATAATTTATTTTGTATAAGAAGCCCATAAGTAATCATTTCTAAATTCAAAGTTACTATTCAAAGTGCAGGGCTTCATTAAGAACCTAGAAATTAATAGATTCAATAATTATACTTTATACTTAAGAGTTAATATCTACTTTATCTATTAAAATTAATAGAATATCATAGCAACAGCTTGCGGTAGTATATGGCGGTAGTCAGTTGTATCCATAGAGAAAGCCTAATAATTTGCTAATAAAACAATAAATTTTTATTTTTAACCACAACTTCTGTTGACGGATAATAATCAAAAGGCAAAATGACATTTCGCGTAAACTTTGAAGTGTATTTAGTGGAAAAAGTTAAAAGTTTGTTAAGAAAAAGTTAAAAGTTTGTTAACTTTTTCTATTAGTGGAAAATAACTACTAATTTTGAAGTTCTGAATATTTACATTGAAATTAGAGGAACAAACTTCTACGCTAATTGTAACCACTAATTATTGATTCCATTAATTTCTAAGTTCTGAATGAATCTTTCCGATACACCCCAGGAAGTAAAAAAACAAAGAGATACTACAAATTATTTGCTATTTTAAAAGATCAATACTACACTCCTCTCTCTGATGACACTGAATAATCCTAAAAATGAAAGTAATTCCATCAAGTCGTAGTTGCCCAAATGTAGTCAACATTCATTCGGCTTTATAAGTGATTTTGAGTTGGAAAGTCCCTAACGAACACTCATGAATAGTAATTAAAGTTCTTTATGTAGTTCTGTATTTGACATTCTCCTCTAGACCTATCGGAATATCGGAACATAAAAAGAATTGCTCGAAAGTTTTTCAATTTTGATTGGACTGAAGCTATGCTCGTTAGTTGTAGATTGCTTCGTGAAAATCGGAATCACCAGGGCTCTGCTGTCCTACTGGAATCGGCAGCAACAACAATATAATTAATCGTACTTTAGATTCTAATTAAAAGTTATCGAAACTCCATTTTCAACTCGGAACGTCAAGAGTGTAATTGATTTTTTTTCAGATGAACCAATCCAGAAAAAAAAAATAAAAACACGCTAGTCAAATAGGTAAAACTTCTCGATCACAAAGTTTGTATGTTTTCGGAATTTTGAATTTTATCAATTTCCCAGAAGAAATATCTGAAAGAATATTGTCGTTTTACTTGAAAAACCTCTTAAGTTTAAAAGTAAATTTTAAAGGAATCGGGAAAACTTTATGGACATGTCTGTTCGAAAATATATTCGTATGTTTTCAGCTGTCAGTAGTTTGAGGGAATAATTTAGGAAATTTGAGTAAAATTAAAAATTTTTATAAAAAATATTGCTGCTTAATTTTTTTAGTTCCTAAAATCTTTGTTTAAAAAATACCTATGATGTAATCTCCAGTCCTCATCTAAATAAATAAAATTAGTCGGTTTAGTTTTAATTTCATTTTTTACTCAGGAACCTCTTTGCGAAGTGCTAGAGGGAATCCCCTCGGGGGAGGAGGGCCATGGTCAGGTCCCCACAATAGGAATTGACCTCAAATCCAAGAAGGCAATAGAGAAAGAGAGCTATATCCTCTATTATAGATCCGAGACAACACCGGTATCCCGTCTAGATAGAGACCAAGCTAAAGAGGTGGAGAAAATGGATTCTCCAGCCTGGACGTCAAGGGTACCTTAGCCGGAGAAAAGTTTCTCGACTATAAAGGACACGGAGTGTTAAACTGCAAGCATGAAGGTGTATACCCTCGTAGATGGTAGATGTCCACTCCACGGGCGATGAACAGCTGTTGTCAGAGAAGGATGGGAAATACCCCGTCCCCTCCTCAACGAGAAGGTTCCCATGTATGATGAGTTATAGACTGTATGAGGAGTTATAACTTAAGAAAGGGGGGCACAATAGAACTTTAATTCGCGGTGATTAACCCCGCCTCCATTCTATATTCTACATTCTATTCAAGCACGGCTGGCCCGATTTTAATGAGAGTTTATTTGTTGGATTCGTCTCCTTCCCGAATAGCAGAATAACTATTAAAATATTACGAAAAAAAAATATACAGAAAATTAATTATTAAATCAATTAGGTTTAGAACTCCGCCATCTTCTGCAATTGACAGTTACATCACGCACACAGAAAGATATGGAAACTACTTAAATCGAAATGTCAACAAAAATATAGAGAACAAATGACAACAACTGTCAAATCGACAGGTCTCAATCATTCTAGATTATTCCATGGATAATTTGTGCTAAAAGATTGAGAAAAACTCTCACTTCAGTGTTAGGAGGTAAGTTAGCTGGATCAGGTAAATTAAATAACATTACCGAATTAAATACTACTAACGCATTACTGAGAGTTTCAGAGTTAAAATATGGG